AGTTCTAATCATATGTTGGGTGTAGAGATTACCTAAAAAATAAAAAAATCTTAGCCTAGTCAGTTGAGCATGTGACTCTTGATTTCAGCTCAGGTCATGATCTCACAACCAAAGTGGGACTCTTAACCGAATGAGCTACCCAGGCACCCCCTAAATAGACAAAACAATCTTAAAAGACAACAACAAAGTTAGAGGGCTCACACTCTGTCACATTACTTCAAAACTTACTTCTGCAATAATCAGCTGCAATATCAAAACAAAACAGTGTGGTAGTGGCAAAAGGAAAGACATAAAGATCAATGGGAAAGAATTGAGAATCCAGAAATTAACCCACAAGTCTATAGGCAAGACATCAGTCTATATAGAGACATAAATATGAGTTTGGGCCCTACATCAGTCTCTCTGTTGTCAGCGCAGAGCCCACTTTGTATCTTCTATCTCCCTCTCTCTCTGCCATTCCCCTGCTTGCATGTGTTCTCTCTCTCTCTCAAAAATAAACATTTAAAAATAAATAAATAAATTTGAATGAGAGAAAGAGAGAGAGAGAGAGAGAGAGAGCAAGCAGGGGAAAGAGAGAATTTTAAGCAGGCTCCATGCTCAGCACAGAGTCCTTCACAGGGCTGGATCCCATGACCCTGGGATCATGATCTGAGCCATTTCTTATTATATTACAATAGGCCAAATTTACACATTTATAAATTCTTGCCTGATCCTTTGACATACAAGTTTACCTAAAAGAGTTATAGGGGTAGTTTCCAGGACATTAAAAAATACAATTTGTTAACAATGGTTGTCCCCCCACCAAATCAGGTGTATTTTTATGTACTAGCAATGAATAATCCAAAAGTAAAATTAAGTTTGGGTTTGAAGATGGTGTTGAGGAGAATAAATACCGTGACTTCCAGTGCTTTGCTAAAACTTCAGATGCAAGGCCTTCTGGCTAAGCATCTGTAATTTCGTATTGTTGCAACATTCATTATAACCCTGGGGGTTCCAGCTTCCTAAAAGTTTGCTGTGGACAAACCAGAAAGAAGGTTTATGTAGATTTCTACAGAAATTATGATTCCCGGAAAAGATTTTGAGGAAATGATGAAGGCTGGTATCTTTCAGAGAGCAAAGTGACTTTCTTTCGGTTGGTTCCACGGAAGTTGGTCACTGACCTATATCCCTGAACTATGAAACATGAATATTGGACTATGGAATAGTTTCTCTTGATAAATAAACAACTAACAAGTACTGTGGAAAAAAACAAACAAAGAAAAATAAACTTAATAAAACAATTCTATTTACAGTAACATCAAAAATAATGAAATACTTAGGATTAAACTTAACCAAGAAAATGTAAGACTTACACACTGAAAACTACTAAACACTTTTGAAACAACTTAAAGACAACCTAAATAAATGGAAAGACATCCCCTGTTCATGAACTGAAAGACTTAGTATTGTTAAAATGTCAGTACTTACAAAACTGATCTACAAATTCAGTACAGTCCCATACAAAATGCCAAGTGCCGTTTTTGCAGAAATAGATAAGCTGATTCTAAAATTCATATGGAATTTCAAAAGATTCCAAATGGACATCTTTTTTTTTTTAATGTTTATTTTTGAGAGAAAGAGACAGAGTACGAGCAGAGAGGGGCAAAGAGAGAGGAGACACAGAATCTGAAGCAGGCTTCAGGCTCTGAGCTGTCAGCAAAGAGCCGGATGAGGGGCTCGAAATCACAAAGCACAAGATCATGACCTAAGCCAAAGTGGGACACTTAACCGAGTAAGCTACCCAGGCACCCCCTAAATAGACAAAACAAGCTTAAATTAAAAAACAACAAAGTTGGAGGACTCACACTTCCTCACATTACTTCAAACCTTACTACTGAAATAATCAGCTGCAATAATGAAAACAGTGTGGTAATGGCAAAAGGACAGACATAAAGATCAGTGGAAAGAATTGAGAATCCAGAAATTAAACCTCAAGTCTATAAGCAATTGATTTTCATAAGAAGTACCAAGAGCATTCAATGGGAAAAAGAATAGTCTTTTCAACAAATGATGCTGAAATAACCAGATTTCCACATGCAAAAGAATGAACTAAACCATTAACACACAACTAATAAAACAATTAACTAAAAACAAATCAAACACCTAAATTTAAGTGCTAAAACAAATCTTAAATGAACACATACACATTGTGATTCTGGATTTAGCAATGAATTCTCATTATGACAGCAAGAGCACAAGCAACAAATGAAAAAATAGATAAACTGAACTTCATCAAAATTAAATATCTTTGTGCATCAAAGGAAACTATAAAGAAAGCAAAAATAACCCAAAGAAAGGGAGAAAATGTTTACAAATCATTTATCTGATAAGGGGGTCTATTATCCAGAATATATAAAGAGCACTTACAATTCAACAACAAAAGACAAACAACTAAATTCAGAAATGGGTGAAGGACTTTAACATACATGAATAGCACATGAAAAAGATGTTTAACATCTTTAGTCATTAGAAAAATGCAAATCAAAACCCACAATGAAATATCACTTTACACCCACTAAGATGGCTATAATTTAAACAAAGGAAGGGGTGCCTGGCTGGCTCAGTCAGTGGAACATGTGACTCTTAATCTCGGTATTATGAGTTCAAGCCCCATGTTGGGTGCAGAGATTACTTAAAAAATAAAATATTTAAAAATAATAAAATGGGGTGCCTGGGTGGCTCAGTTGGTTGAGCATCTGACTCTTGACTTTGGCTCAGGTAATGATGCAAGGGTCGTGGGACTGAGTAATGCATCCAGCTCTGTGCTGAGCATGGAGCCTGCTTAAGATTCTTTCTTTC